GGGCATCTGCAGTATGTACTGAAAGTCAATAAAAAAAGTAACACTGTTTGTTACAGCAGGACGACCTGAACATGATATTAAATGAGCACATCGTCTTTAAAACTTGCATATTGACACTGAAACTGCCTTCAGTGTTATTTGAAATATTAAAGAAAAGTTTCTCTAGCAGTTATGGGTCAAATATCCAAAATGTGCAATCCTATTTTGACAGAAATTTTGACCATGGATGACGACATTATCTGCTTTAGCTTTCCCACTGGATATACGTTGACATAGTTTTTCAATTTAGTCCTTATGTGGTCAGTCCTCAATCAAGATATCTGTTTGAGATCTGTTTAACAGTGATTCAGATTCAGATTAAGAATATTTATTAATCCCAAAAGGGCAATTCATAGTAGCAGTTTGATGTCATGTTTTATTTTTGTAACGACTGTGCACTCAGTACTTGGTATCTGCAATAATCACATTCTGTTGGACTGAATATTTAATTCAAAATGCTTCTCTTTTCGCACATTAGTGTTGGCAGGAAGGCTGAGCTCACCCGTAATGAGTAATTGCTTTCAGACAGAGGTTAACCATAGATTGATATTATCATTAAAAGCCTCACTTTTTGCTTGAGGAGGCTGATGACTTCCTGTAATAATTTATTGCGGGGAAAAAACTATTAATATTTAAGCGCTACATTCTGAGGATATTACATTTATACCAACCTGAACTCGCCACCAGCCAGTATTGATTTATTAATATCTTCTCTGCCTGCACACCTGTTGCGGTCCTCCTTTAGAAATTGGATTAGAAAAGCAAACACAGCAGTTGTTCAGCTCTCAGCAGCCAGACACCACCACGCTTATTCCTGGAGGAGAGAGGCCTTTCAGCTCAGACCGCCGTCACATGGAGCGCTCAAAATGGAACAAATTGATTTCAGGATTGACAATTTTTAAAAAAAAAAAAAAAAAAAACACCTCCAGTGTCTCTCTTGTGACTTTATTCTATTTGTTTCTGGGCGTTTCACTCAAAAAGGCCACTTTAAGGTCAGATACAATAAACCAGGTACAAGAACAGAAGTTGAACAACTACTTTCTGAAACACATTTTAAATTCAGATTAGTTACTTCTTAAATCCTTGAAATTAAACAAGATTAATTTCAACCATCTGTGAAAACAATTAGCGAGAGTATGTGTGCACAATGAGAATGTGTGCACTATGAGAAAATTTAAAGAATTAACATTTTGGGAACACTTGTTTGCTTTCTTGCCAAGACTTGGATAAAAAGATTGATACCACTCTCATGTCTGTGCAGTAAATATGAAGCTACAGCTAGCATCAAGTCATCTTAGGTTAGCATAAGTACTGGAAATAGGGAAAGCTAGCCAGGTTCTATCCAAATATAACAAAATCCACCTACCAGCCCCTCTAAGGATGTCTCTCTCTCTTAATTAATTAACTTTAAAATAGTGAGCGAAAGACTTTGTAACTTTTGCTGAACTGTTGCTGGCAGTATGGAGAGCTGCAGGGATGACTTTTTTTGTTGTAGGCCAACATGAAATTTAGCGTCGCCCTGGTTCCCTTGTCAAAAAAGATTTTCCCATTGGATTTTGGATTGTTGCAGAAAATAAACTGTGGAAAACAAAAGTTTATGATACCTATAGGTTTGCTCAGCAAGATAATCATCACAAATTAACACCACATTTATGTTTTTGAAGCGGAAATGCAGTCATCGGAAGTAAAAAGCGAACTACACTACGGTGGCATAACATTGCCACCTTATCGTCCATAGTCGGCATGATGACGCTGTAGTCTCCTTAGCCACTTTTTAGGAACTGCCTTTTTTAAAGACACATAAAAGTGTCAAAATACACAAGTGGGATATTCACGACGTATTTTATGTTGTAGAACAAAACGTAAAAGTCTACTAAGCTTGTAATAACCACAGACCTTATTTCAGGCATCTAACCAAAAACACATTCAAAATCCCATTGATTTTGAGATGAGGGAACTAGGAATGCAAAAATGCTAACTCATTTCCGGACTTTAGGACTTACTCCTGCACCACACTCTTCGGGGCTCAGTTAGGGCATAATGGACAATACTAAATCACTGGGTAACAATAGCAGAAGCAGAGAAGACTCTTAAATCCATTCATTCATTTTCCGTAACTGCTTATCCTTTTGAGGGTCGCGGGGGGAGCTGGAGTCTATCCCAGCTGACATTGGGCGAAAGGCTGGGTACACCCTGGACAGATCACCAGACTGTTGCAGGGCTGACACATAGAAACAGCAACCATTCACACTCACATTCACAACCCAACCTGCATGTCTTTGGACTGTGGGAGGAAGCCGGAGTACCCGGAGAAAACCCACGCTGCTGACATGGGGAGAACATGCAAACTCTGCGCAGAAGGGCTCCCCCACCCCAGGAACCCTCTCGCTGTGAGGTGACAATGCTAACCACTGCACCACTGTGCCACCACTCTTAAATCTGAATGAATAATCTCTGTTACACTGAAACATCTCATAGAAGTTTGATAACTTTAGCTAACATTAGCCACCAGATGCTACTTACTGGTCACATCAGACCAAAGGCTGCAGCAGCAGAACCTATGTGCAGTCATCTTGCTTATTAATCAATTGTAAAATGAGGAGTTTTTGAAATATACTTTTAAATTACTTTTTTAAAAAATGCAGTCTTTCATTAATCTTTGGAAGAACAGTTACCGTTTGATCAACATCACATCACAACAGCACGTTATGTATTTGTTGGCATAAAATGGCACATGATTTTTTTATGCCCAAAAAACAAATTAAAATATTTAGTAGTGCATTCAAAATACTCTGAAGGCCATAGCACACCAAATCTGTATTTTCCATCCATTTTTCAGTCGCAACGTTGTTTTTTGTTTGTGAACTGCAACAACCATGAAAGCAAGAACTAAACTTCATTTGGATTGACAGCATGATTGATCTGCGAGGCCTCTGGGCTCCACCGACACCTCCCACAATCAACCCGCTCGTGGGCAGATCAATCGTACTGTCAATCCAAATAGTGTTTAGTTCTTGCTTTCATGGTTGTTGCAGTTTAGGTTTGTAAACAACACACATCAGTGAAGAAGCTGGATTGAAACTGTATCCAGGAAAGCAGCCTATAGGTGATACAACACTTGTGTAACATGTAAATGTTTTTAAAATGCATCCATCCATTTTGTGATGGAGAGAAACTTGACATAAGTCAGATGTTTTCTATCTGTTTGGATGGGCTCTTTGAAATATTTATCCAGTATGTAGTTTGCAGTAGCTTTACTCCCGGGCTGGTCCTTGTCCCTCCAGTTGACCCCCTAATCCTGTGCAGATGCACCCGTCGTCAGATCTATTTTCCCCCCGGGGTGAGACATCAGCCTCTCCACCACACTACCAGCTGATGAGAGATTTTCTCCCTGCTTCTTCTCTTTCTTGTCCCGTGACCCTTGGATTCACATCTCATGGCCTCCTCGCAGTCAAACGTCCACACAAACATTTGCTGTCGTGTCGAGACATGACAGAGGGGTCGGAGTACTGTAAAAGTCTGCCTGCCCGTGCCATGCTTGTCTACCCAGAGCCAATTATAATCGCAGCTGTTGCCAGACCTTCAAGTGACATTAAGAAGCTATTAAATCAGCACCAATTAGACTGTCTGTGATGCACTGCCAGACAAAATGCCTATATCATACAGCTCTTTCCCACCAGAATACCATGTAATATCCTCTGCTCTGAGGAGGAATTGCAAAAATTGTTTTAGTAGTCTGAAGGCAAGGTAGTTCAGTAATTCTGAATAAAAATACACATGAATAAATGTATAATAACTTAAAAAAACAAGGGTGCACGGGAGTGAAAATCTATATGATTTTAAGGGATGTGTGGATGGTCTGCATGGAGGATGACAGAGGATATTCGTGCACAATTTCTGAGTTAGATGGAGTAGTCCTTCAAAAGTCTACTACCACAAAGTTGTGGAACATACGAGAGGCAGATACACTCTAAAAACAGTGAATGCTACACTTCCCATAATGCAACATGACTGAGTTTTGATATGGTTGGGGTGTGCTCGCTCAGAACTAGTTCGTATGATGTGTTGTCTGACCTCATTGTAAGGTAAAGGCATTTGGGGAGGAGGGTTTGCGAAGCTATTCGACCATCTGTCAAGCAGTTCTGAAGATGCATACTAGCAACTTCAAACTCTCTTATGCCGCTTTTACATACAAGGCAGCCACCAAGGGAAGGCAGCACACATAACAACCAATATGACACATCACAATAAAACAGATGCCAAGCAGATTTATAGACCTCACAGACAGATCACGATGATGATGCCAAATATTAATCAAAAACATTTAAAGACAATAGCCAAAAGAATCTTTACCAGAGCCTTGCCTCTGTCTGGAATGTGCTAAATGTTGCCCGGCTGCTCCCGACACTAAACCCAAACAGTCATGTGTGTGATCAACTGGGCTCTCCAGACAGCCAATCAACCAATGCCAGAATTTCAGCGATGCCCTAACAGACCTAATCTTCCCTGATCCCAGAAAATGAGGCCCAGCGTGTCGGGACCGTAAGCCCTCTAAGCTGTCGTCTTTAGCATTCATTGCTTTTTAATGGACAGTCTGAAGGGTTACAATTGAAACCATTTAAAAGTGACACAATACAGCTATACATAGACAGATTGAAATACAAAATGGACATACTTGACTTTTTCAGGGTGGCATAGAAGCCAGATCTCCAAATATAGGAGAAGGCACCATGAAACAGGACCGACTAGCGCTTATAAAAGCCGTTAAAGTCCTGTTAGGGTGAGGGATGTCTGTGTTGTTCTTCTGAAGAAACGGTAGAGTGGAGAACCTTCTTTTTGGTCTGCAGCACTCTGGTAAGTACATTGATGCATCCATTTTTTTTAAAAATTCTGATCAACTTCTGTTTAGTTTTATTCATATTTAAATGCATTTGTTTGTCCAGCTCACGCAGCCAGATAAAATGAGCGATGCCGAGATGGAAATATTCGGGGTGGCTGCCCCATACCTCCGCAAATCAGAGCGGGAGAGAATCGCAGCCCAAAACATGCCGTTTGATGCCAAAACAGCCATCTTTGTGCCTGACCCAAAGCAGGAGTATGTGAAGGGGAAAATCAGGAGCCAAGATGGCCCCAAGGTCACCGTGGAGACTGAGGATGGAAAGGTTGGTCTATTTTAACTCTTTTCTGGGGTGGTAAAGCAGTCGCAGAAACATTTGTCGGCTTTTACTTAAATTTCAACATTTCATATTATCCTTTTTCTATATAAGCTGTCATTCAGTTCTCTGGACTTGTGAATTCCTTCTTCAGATTGTCGTAGTTCACCTGGATGACACTCGCCCCATGAACCCTCCAAAGTTTGACAAGCTGGAGGACATGGCAATGCTGACACATCTGCATGAACCAGCTGTGCTCTTTAACCTCAAGGAGCGCTACGCCACCTGGATGATCTACGTAACTACAAATGAAAAACACCAGATTTTAAATGGAAATTACACCTCACGTCTTACAACTTGATTCACAGATGCTTTATTGTGATAGTTTTTCTCTCTTCATTTATTCACAGACCTACTCTGGGCTCTTCTGCGTGACTGTGAACCCCTATAAGTGGCTACCAGTCTACAACCCAGAGGTGGTGGCTGGATACCGTGGGAAGAAACGGCAAGAGGCCCCCCCACACATCTTCGCCATCTCTGACAGTGCTTACCAGTACATGCTCACAGGTCCAGTCTCACCATAACAATTGACAACTGACCACAAATATATAACTAAATCAACATTAACTGTCAAAATGAAACAGACAGACTGCTCAAATAGAACCAAACTACCAGTGTCAAACCAGTTTCTTTCCCTTGAACAGATCGAGAGAACCAGTCTATTCTGATCACGTAAGTGTGACTTAATGTGCTGTTCGACAAAAATCCTCAATATACTTTTGTTTCCCATCACTCATCTCATGCTGCTGTTCTGTCAGTGGAGAATCTGGTGCCGGGAAGACCGTCAACACAAAACGAGTCATCCAGTATTTTGCAACAATTGCATCAATGGGAGACTTGAGCAAGAAAGAGCAACTTTCCGGCAAAATGAAGGTTCAGTTCACTTATCTCACATTCTGGCAATGTATTGATCAGGTATGAAACTGTTTGTTGCAACAGCTAGAGTTGATTGTTTTGAGTTTACAGGGGAATCTGGAGGATCAAATCATCCAGGCTAACCCTCTGCTGGAAGCTTTTGGGAACGCCAAGACTGTGAGGAACGACAACTCCTCTCGCTTTGTAAGTCCAAATTTGAGTCGTATGGAAACTGCTATTATTACAGTATTGTCAGTTTTTTCTCCTGTTATCTCTTGATGATGGGAAAATTAATCTGTTAGTTATTATAATTTAATGAAATTGTTAACTTGCAATCTTTAGATAAGAGGTTTAATTAAAAATAAATTTTACTTGGGTAGAAGTATGAAAGTATGAATATCAAAATATACTGAAGGTACAAAAAGTAGAAGTACCCATTATACAGAATAGCCTATTTCAGAAGAATATATATTGTATTGTTGAATTATGATGATTTATGCATTAATGTGTACATCACTTTAATTTTTCACTATATATTTATATATAGGAACAATAAAGCCTTAGATTTATCCATAATAATGCATCATAAATGATCTGTCAATTATATTTTTTTGTATTTCGCAATCTGAATCTGCAAAAGAACTTGTAAGTAAAGGTATTAGATAAATATAGTGGAATAATTCATTCATTCATTCATACAGTTGTCTGTAACCGCTTATCCTCTTTGGGGTCACAGGCGAGCTGGAGCCTATCCCAGCTGACATTGGGTGAGAGGTGGGGTACACCCTGGACAGGTTGCCAGACTATCACAGGGCTGACACATAGAAACAGACAACCATTCACACTCCCATTTACACCTACTGTTAATTTAGACTCACTAATTAACCTGCATGTCTTTGGACTAAGGGAAGAAACTCGAGTTCCCGGAGTAAGCCCACACTGAAGCAGGGAGAACATGCAAACACATGCACAGAAGGGCTCCTCCACTGTGGGTTCAAACCAGGAACCCTATTGCTGTGAGGCAACAATGTTAACAATTGCGCCACCGTGCCAGTGGAAGTGGAATTAAAAGATAAATATTTGCCTCTAAATTGTAGTGGAGTAGACATATAAAGTGGTAGAAAATGAAAAATATTCCAGTAATGTTCAAGTACCTAAAAACTGTACTACTCAGTTGTAATATTTTGTAACTCATAAGTCAAAATTAAATAATAATATAACAACATTTCCAGGGGAAATTCATCCGCATCCACTTTGGAACAAAGGGGAAGTTGGCATCAGCTGATATTGAAACATGTAAGTTTGCTCACATCAGTGTCATTGAGATTCCACTGCTATGTATATACTTATTCTCTGTGCTTACATTTATTTTATGTAGACCTTTTGGAAAAATCCAGAGTGACCTTTCAGCTGCCGGCAGAGAGGAGTTATCACATCTTCTATCAGATCTTGTCAAACAAGAAGCCTGATTTGATTGGTAAATATACTTAATGTCTTAGTACAGTAAACAAATGCCACACTCACACAGCTACTGTAGCTGCTGCTGACCCTGCATAAAGAAATCAATACTTTTTGTATTTTATTTCAGAGATGATGCTAATAACCACCAACCCATACGACTACCCTTTCATCAGCCAGGGAGAAATCACTGTGCTGAGCATCAACGATCCCGAGGAGCTGATGGCCACTGATGTGAGTGCACGTGGGCTGGATATAGATATGTGTGCAGAAACAAGAGCTGGGCAATTTGGTCAAATCACAAAATCAATAAGAACCTTTTCTGCAAAATCACATAAAATAATAATCAAGTTATTGTCCTGGTGCCGTGCAGTGCATCAGACAAAAGTTTGAGGAGTCTTAAAAATGCTTGGCATCATTAGTCTGGCCAGTGAAATTATGTTAACTCATAAGGATATAATCACACTATATCATAAGGATAAAAATATTACTGAAAGTTGCTGAACACAAATATTGTGTCATGTCGAGGGGTGAATTTGAGGTGGGAGATTTAACGTTGTATCTGTTGTGTTTATATTACATTTACAAATGTATGTGGTCATATATTGCTGTTTATTATCTATTTAATATGAATATTGCGATTATTTTAATTCTGTTTGTTTTTATTTTGTTTATTTATAGTTTTTTGGTTCACTAAGCATTTTTACTTATTATATTCCTCACTATTATCAGTAGCATTTTTAATATAATTTCAGGTGGAGGCAGGGTTTATCGATACTTTCAATAAAAATAATGTGGGGAGAAAATATTGTACTGTCACAAAACTAAGACTGACAGCATTAATCACAGTGCTTGAACATCTGTGTCTGTTTTCCAGAGTGCCATTGACATCCTGGGGTTTAACACAGAGGAAAAGGTCGGCATCTACAAGCTGACTGGCGCTGTGATGCATTATGGGAACATGAAGTTCAAGCAGAAGCAGCGGGAGGAGCAGGCGGAGCCCGATGGCACCGAGGGTGAGACATCTGAGCTACATTTAAATCAAATGAGACTTAAGTCTGGCAACATCACAGCTTACGACACACACTTTTTAAGCTGAGTATGTGCTTCATGTATCTGTCACACAGTGGCAGACAAAGTGGCCTACCTCATGGGTCTGAACTCTGCTGATTTGCTGAAGGCTCTGTGTTACCCCCGAGTGAAGGTCGGGAATGAGTATGTCACCAAAGGTCAGACTCCTCAGCAGGTACAGTGTGTTTCTACATCTTGTAATGTCAGTTCTGTCTGAATATAAAGATTAGATAATTGTAGAACGTAACAAAGTACATTTACTTAAGTACTGTACTTCTTAAATTCTTCCTCCACCACTGATTGCAGGTGAACAATGCCATGGGCGCCCTGTCTAAGGCTGTGTATGAGAAGCTGTTCCTGTGGATGGTCACACGTATCAATCAGCAGCTTGACACCAAACTTCCAAGACAGCATTTCATTGGTGTCCTGGATATCGCAGGATTTGAGATTTTCGAGGTAAACAAGAATCACACTGACAAAAAAAAATAGAACAAACATGTCTAAAAATCTCCATAATTATTTAATCTGTATTGTTTAATTCAGATGAACAGCCTGGAGCAGCTGTGTATCAACTTTACAAACGAGAAGCTGCAACAGTTTTTTAACCATCACATGTTTGTGTTGGAGCAAGAGGAATACAAGAATGAAGGGATTGCGTGGGAGTTCATAGACTTTGGCATGGATTTGGCAGCCTGCATTGAGCTTATTGAAAAGGTGCGTCATCTCAAACACAAAGATTTATATCAACAGTAGAAGCATGCATTCGAACACTAATCAGCTGTCTTTCCTGCAGCCGATGGGTATTTTCTCTATTCTGGAAGAGGAGTGCATGTTTCCAAAGGCAACAGACAGCTCCTTCAAGAACAAGCTGTACGACCAACACTTGGGGAAGAACAGCATCTTTCAGAAGCCCAAGCCCTCCAAAGGAAAAGCCGAAGCTCACTTCTCACTGATGCATTATGCCGGCACTGTCGACTACAACCTCAGCGGCTGGCTGGAGAAAAATAAAGACCCACTTAATGACACTGTGGTGCAGCTTTATCAGAAAGCGTCCCTGAAGCTGCTCTGTCAGCTGTTTGCCACATATTCCACTGCTGAAGGTCAGCTCACTTTTAATAACATATTATAATGACATAATGTTTACTATATAATACATTTCATTTTTTCTTTTATGTTTCTGTAGCTGATGGAACTAAGAGAAGTACCAAGAAAAAGGGTTCCTCCTTCCAGACGGTTTCTGCACTTTTCAGGGTAATAATCACTAATAAGATCATCGCTGAGGGAAGCACAGTGATGGATTTCTTTGGTGTTGGTGTGATAGGTGGCACAAGTTACTCATTGGTAAAGGTATTAATGCATGGATTAAGCAACCCCTGGATAATTTGGATATTTTTCCATTTTTAATTTTCTCACTTGGTTTTTATTTTATGTAAAAATGTTTATTCATGTAAAAACAGTTTTATCATATGTCCCAGAATTCCTCTACATGATGGTCTCAAGGTGATTTCTATGTTTATTTGTATTAAGTATTGCATTTCTTACTTTTTTTGGCCTAAATCGTGAATAATCTACATATCAAGTCTACAAAACATAAATATCTGCCTTTTAAAATCCTACCATAAGTAACTTTAAATTATGTGCACTGTAACTGTACACTGCACTTCAAGTTTTCAAGAAAGACATACAGAGAACACGCCCTTTAGTAGGACCTCCAGTTCAAAACATAGCTGAAAATTAAAGAAGTTGTCGGCTTACCAGACAAAAATAAGCAGCAGCAAACAAAGCCAAGCATGCAGAAACATTTTAAGACAAAAGACAAGACATAAGACAACAGAAACAGAAGAGGTCTTTGTTGATCCATGATGTGTCAGACAACACAGAGGAACCTTTTCACATATGAAGCTTCCATATAAACAGTGACCTGCCAGATAAACTAAGCAGCAATAAGTCGGCTTGTTTTTGTAATGTAATCTCATTGAATTTTGTTTAACATTGTTAATCTTTACCTGGCAAGCTAATGTCCATGCGTTAGTAGCCCTACCCTGCATGTAACTTGTACCAACTTGTATGAAACAATCTAAACCATTCTTTTAAGAAAAGATTAAGACTAATTGCATATGAAGAGACGATATCCTGTTGATCTCCTGCAGGAAAACCTGAATAAACTGATGGCCAACCTCCGGTCCACACATCCACACTTTGTAAGATGTATTATCCCCAATGAAACCAAGACCCCAGGTGAGAAGAAATATTACTCTAAAGTTAAAGTAAGAAGATGAGAGAACTGGAACCATTCTAACATCTGTACATCTTCACATCAAACAAAGGAGAAATGTTAATGAGTGAGCTTTGAGTGGGTGATAGGTGGACTTTGTTACCTAGGCCAGGCTAGCTTATTTATACTAAGCTTAGCTAACCACCCGGCTCCAGCTACATATTCACAGTAGAGACATGAGAGTGGTATTGATTTCTAGATGTAAAAAAGGCAAATACAAAAATTTACAAACTACAAACTTCTTTAAGACTTACAAAATGATGCAAAACCAGACTAAAAGGAACATTCATAACAGACAAAACATGTGTTGAGCTATTCCTTTAACCAAAAATGTATATTTCACCTAGGCTCCATGGATCACCATCTTGTCCTTCACCAGCTGCGCTGTAACGGTGTGCTGGAAGGTATCAGGATTTGCAGAAAGGGATTCCCCAGCAGGATCCTCTACGGAGATTTCAGGCAGAGGTAACACATCACACTCTGTTTGTGCTGCCTGTGTTGTTTCACACAACAAATCACTGAAACTCACCTACGTTTGAACCTCAACTCTCTGTGTGACAGATACAGGATTCTGAATGCCAGTGCAATCCCTGAGGGTCAGTTTATTGACAGCAAGAAAGCTTCAGAGAAACTGCTCTCCTCCATTGATGTGGATCATGCCCAGTATAGATTTGGATACACAAAGGTATCTCATCACAAAAAGAGGACCTTGTTTCTGTTTATGTATATTTATTGTTAGTATTTATTGTTATTTTTACTATTTAATAAATACCAGACACACTTACACAGAGTCCAGCTACTTACAGTAAAACAGCTAAAACATAAACTATGACATTAGAAATTGATGTTGGTGAAATGTAACTATAACTATATTCAATGAAGTATTTAAGCATAACTTCGAGGTATTTCTGTTTACTTGAATATTTCCATTTTATGCGTCTTTATTCTTCTACTCCACTACATTTTGGAAGCCAATATTGTAGTTTTTATTCCACCATATTCATTTTGACAAAAGTTATTTTGCAGATTCAGATTATTAATACAAAATATGACAACTTATGATATGTTATTATGGATTAAGCTGCCCAGCTGCCCATCTTTAGCAGGCGCAACATTAAAGTGATGAACACATTAATCCATCAATAATTATAACTAATCCTACCCACTGGTAGCTTTGTCACCTTCTACCTATGCCAATCCTCAATGCCTATGTGCAGTTTCACATAGACTGACCACGTTAGTGAGTAGAAAAACGTGGGACAGACAAAATGACTGACTAACAGAATGATACACTGACAGTGTCCGTGATTATGTACAGCATACCATACCATGACTATGCCAAAAATTGCCAAAAATTAGAAAAAAAACAATATTTGGCCACAGGGGGAGCCACAGCGATCGGTCGCATTTTAGCCATTTTTAAGCATTTTTCTGTTGTTATAGCGCCACCCAGTTGCCAGTTAGAGTTAAATTTCTCCAGTCACCTTGAGGCATCCTGTTCTACATATCTACCAAGTTTAGTAAAATCGATATGGCAGTATGGCCTAGATAAGAAATGAGCTCTCTAGCGCCCCCATTTTGTTTGATGGGGTCAATAATGGAGGGGTCCCCTCAGATTATGTGTGGTCATATGCCTACAAAGTTGCGTGGTGATTGGTGAAACCCTTGAGATGTTATACACCTTTAGATATTGGTCCCTAGATTATGTTCACTGTGTTTCATGCAGATCGGTCAAACTTCCTAGGAAGAGATCGATTTTAAGTTTTTTTCAATAAATTCAAAATGGCGGAAAATCTATATAACCGGAAGTTATGGGTTCTTGAGGCAAATTTGTTCCTCATGAGGAGAGGCATCTCTGTGCAAAGTTTCATGTCTCTACGACATACGGGGCATGAGATATGCCCATTCAAAGTTTGCAATTTCAGTCGGTTGCTATAGCGCCCCCCTTTGGCCAATTGATGTAATATTGCTTCATTCGCATCCTCACATGACCCTCTACCACTGTGCCAAATTTCACATGGATTGACCAAGTCAGTGAGGAGAAAAATGTGGAACAGACACATGGACACACCCACAGAGTTTTCGTCATTATATAATAAGATAAGATTGTGTGATATAATGTATATTATTCTCCTATGAGCCATTCTGCATAATGAGCACTTCAACTTTTTGTTCTTCAAGTATATTTTGATGTTAATACTTTTGTACTTTTACTTATAACAGAGTATTTCTTCACTGTGGGAATGTTACTTTTACTTAAAAGATCCATAATGTTATGTAAGTTTATGTAATTAATTCAAGGCTCATTGGTCCTCCATGCATCAGCTACTGAACCACCTTAAAGAACTGCATCAGTTTGACCTTTTCAGTAAAGTAATGGCAGTAAAGTAATGGCTGGATTTTGGCACAGACTACAGTATTTTATTGTAAAACCATCAGGAAATAGTTTGGAAATAGTGCTCAATCTGTCCTACATATGGATACTGAATTAATTTCCATTTAAATGTTGTATCGTCACAACATACAGGTGTTTTTCAAAGCCGGCCTGTTGGGTCTCCTGGAGGAGATGAGGGATGAACGACTGGCGGTGCTGATGACTCGGATCCAGGCTGTGTCCAGAGGTTATGTCACCAGGCTCAGGCTCAAGGAGATGATGAAGAAAAGGTCTGATGAGAGATCGGCTTCATTCACATACTTGTGACTTTACTGAAATGAATACATGTTGAAATTTCGGGTTCAGGGAAATTCAGGCAACTTTAGAACTGGGTCACTTCACAGTAATAAAATAGAATTTATCCTATAATTTGTGTTTCATATTTATTTAATTTAATGGTTGATAGCAGATATTTTTAGGCATGCTATCACTGGTCCACCACTTCAGTCCAGACTGAAATATCTCAGCAACTATTGGATGGACTTTTTATGAAATTGTGTACAGACATTTCTGATCCCATCAGGATGAATGCTTCTTGATTGTGGTGATTCTCTGACTTTTCGCCTAGTGGCACCAGCAGGTCAAATTTTTGATTTTTCCAACACTTTTATAACTAAAGTCCTGCAAAATGAATTACATGCCCGTTAGCCTCAGCTGCACTTTGTTGTTTGTGCTAAATAGTGAATGTTAGTAACACACAAAGATGGAGGACAGTTAACAACATACACATCTTAAAATCCTCTGTTTGTATTCCTGTCTGTCTTTCATTTGTTGTTTTCCTGATCTTCACCACACTCAGGCATCTTTATTGTTTTGCTTTTCCACCCCGCAGAGAGTCAATTTTCATCATCCAGTACAACATCCGCTCCTTCATGAATGTTAAGAACTGGCCTTGGATGAGGCTCTTCTTCAAGATTAAGCCTCTGTTACGGAGTGCCGAGGCCGAGAAGGAGATGCAGAACATGAAAGAGGAGTTTGCTCGACTCAAAGAGGAGTTGGCAAAGTCGGAGGCCAGGAGGAAGGAGGTGGAGGAGAGAATGGTGATGCTCGTCCAGGAAAAGAATGACCTCTACCTTCAAATCCAAGCAGTACGTAAACAACAAAGTGGTCTGTTTGTATTGATTTCACCCCGTTGGATAAAGAGATCGGGAGAGAAAAGACCTGTTTTTCTTCTTCTTAAATTTAGCAAGTGTATAATCAATAGTAATGTAAGATAAGAGGAACCCATCGATCCCTGCTGGGAAAGTGGACACAGCAGAGGCAAAATTCAACCAAGTAAAAGTAGAATATATAGCAATATGCAATAAAAAACAACAGACAAAATAAAAAAAACGGCAGACAGAGTAAACAAAATGAGATGAAGAGAAACAAGACGTAGATGTCTTTAAAAAAGAAAAAAAAGTCTAAAAAAAAAAAAAGGTCAGGGGATCATTAAAGTCATTAGGATTTATCCTCTGGGTCCAATTTAAAATATACACAATATTCTAAACCAACACAAAAATTAAAAGGAGTACTAAAAATAGAAAATACACAGAGTACTCAAAACATGCAGATATTTATTCAAAATAACTGCATGGATCTATTTTTATGAAACTATTTATAATAATAATAATATTAATGATGCTGTAACTACAACTGAGAAACATTTAAAAAGAATGAAATTAACAAGTACAATAACCATGCTCTAGTTAAACAGTTCACTTTTACTCCATTGCTACATTGTTATAATGCACCATTGTGTGTGCCCCTGCTTCTCAGGAGAGGGAGAACCTGTGCGATGCCGAGGAGAGGTGTGAAGGCCTGATAAAAAGCAAGATCCACCTGGAGGCCAAAGTCAAAGAGTTCTCAGAGAGGATGGAGGAAGAGGAGGAGATCAATGCCGAAATCACCGCAAAGAAGAGGAAGCTGGAGGACGAATGTACGGAGCTCAAAAGAGACATCGATGACCTCGAACTCACCATCGCCAAAGTGGAGAAGGAGAAATATGCCACAGAAAATAAGGTGTCACTGATGAACTGATGATTGCAGTGGTAATACCATACTGTGAAAATACTCCGATACAAGTAAATGTACTGCGTTATACTTACACAAAAATGTGTAAGCTGAAGCTGTCAGATGTAGTGAATACAGTATTTGCCTCTGACCTGTATAGTAGAAGTATAAAGTTGCATAAAATGGAAATACACAAGTAAAGCACAAGTACCTTACAGTATATTAACTTGCTTGTAATGTGTTTCTCCTCAGGTTAAGAACTTGGTTGAGGAGCTCACTACTCTTGAGGAAAAATTGCTGAAGTCCTCCAAGGAGATCAGAGCTTTGCAGGAAGTGCACCAGCAGACCTTAGATGACCTCCAGGCTGAGGAGGATAAAGTGAACTCTCTAATGAAGATCAAAATCAAGCTGGAGCAACAGGTTGATGATGTAAGTCTGGAACGGGAATATAATTCTCTTTTAATTGGATCGTCAAGGTAATTTGATCTGAAGACTCTTTTGTGAGATATGTCTCATAATAAGTAGCCACCACACACAAACATGCACAATGTCCCTGTTTTAGTTTCCATGATTTACTGGCTGATGTAGTGGTTGCATGTCTCCTGCAGCTGGAGGGCTCACTGGAGCAGGAGAAGAAGGTCCATGCAGACTTGGAGAGATCCAAAAGAAAACTGGAGGGGGATCTGAAGCTGTCCCAGGAAACCATCATGGACCTGGAGAATGAAAGACAGCAAATGGAGGAGAGACTGAAAAAGTAAGTTGTTCTTTGATTATTCAAGTGCATCTTATTATATACCACCAAATCACAACAAAAGTTATCTCATGACACTTTTTTATAAAGAGGAGGTCCAGACTACCCCTTCATCCTAAAACACAAAGCGAAACCAAATAGGTTTAATTACCACCGGAGATTTAAGCAAATGAGGGTTAGAGTATAGCTTTCTGGCTGAGAGTTAGATGAGAAGATTGATTTCACCCTCATGTCTGTACAGTAAATATAAAACCGCAGCTGGTTAGCTTAGCTTTAGCACAGCTAGCCTGGCTCTATCCAACAGTAACAAAGTTTGCCCTCCAACACCCATAAAGCTCACTGAGTAACACCTTATATCTTGTTTTGGAAATCCTTCCGAAAACTGAAAAGCAAAAACCTAAATTCTCCATTTCACAGAGGGTTACATGATGGACTCGGCAAGAAGTCAGGCTAGCTGTTTTCCCCTCTTTCCAGTCTTTGTGCTAAGCTAAGCTAACAGCTGCTGACTCCAGCTACAAACATGAGAGTGGTATCAGTGCTTTTGCAAGAAAGCACATATGCATGTTTTCCAAAATGTTTAACTATACCTTTAAACATCTTAGTAAAAAAGACTTTTTTTAGCCCTTTAAATGTAAATAAATAAATAAATAACAGAGTAAATGTTTTCTGCTGAAAAATTCACTCTTTTTTTTAGAAAGGACTTTGAAATCAGCAGCCTGCAGTGCAAAATTGAAGATGAGCAAGTCCTAAATAGTCAACTGCAAAAGAAGATCAAAGAGCTTCAGGTATGATTTATAAAAATAATAGTCCTATTTCAATGCATTTTCTTCAGTATCCTAAGAACTCCCATTTTTAGAAGTTAATACAATATTACTGTAGGGTCGCACTGAAGAGCTAGAAGAGGGAATCGAGGCTGAGCGCTCGGCTCGAGCCAAAGTGGAGAAGCAGAGGTGTGATTTGTCCAGAGAGCTGGATGAGATCAGCGAGAAGCTGGAGGAGGCCGGAGGAGCCACCGCTGCTCAGGCCGAGCTGAACAAGAAGCGTGAGGCTGAGTTTCAGAGGCTGCGTCGAGACCTGGAAGAGTCCACCCTGCAGCACGAATCCATCGCCGCCACTCTACGCAAGAAACAGGCTGACAGTGTCGCCGAGCTCAGCGATCAGATAGACAACCTTCAGAGAGTCAAACAGAAACTGGAAAAAGAGAAAAGTGAGCTGAAGATGGAAGTCGATGACATGGCCAGCAACACGGAGTGTGTTCTGAAAAGCAAGGTAAAAGGTCTGCAGAGAAGAATGTCGAATCATATTTTCTTATCTTAGCTTATCTTTTGATTGTGATAACTGATGATCAATATTTCAGGCTAATCTGGAGAAAATGTTCAGGAGCCTTGAGGACCAAATGAATGAATATAAAACCAAAGCAGATGAAGCCCAGAGGTCTCTGAGTGATTACACTACACTCTGTGCTCGTCAACAAACAGAAAATGGTACATTTCTCATTCATTAAAAAGGTACTAAAGAGCAATTAAGATGGACAGATAAAGTTAGTTTTATCCTCTTTATCCTAAACAGGTGAGCTGACACGTCTGCTGGAGGAGAAAGAGATCACCCTGTCCCAGCTGAGCAGAGTCAAAATTGTGGGGAGTCAACAAATTGAAGAGTTGAAGAGACTTTTGGACGAAGAAATGAAGGTCTGAAAGACACAATTGTGTCTGAAATACACACTGTTACAGTCACAACAATGATTTAAACCTACATGAGAGAACTCTGCAGAGTGTCAGCTTTAGTTTTTCATGTCACAGGATACTAAAAGAAGCCTTTTTGAAAAAGGCAGGTTGAATAGAGCTGCAATGATAAGTCAATTAATTAGTTAGTTGACAGAAAATTAATCTGTAAACTATTTCTTGATAATTGATTAATTGTTTTAGTCATTTTTTTTTTTTTTTTAGCAAACTTGCCGAACACTCTCTGGCTCTAGCTTCCTCAAAATGATCATTAGTTGCAACAGTGGTTTCAGGGAAGATCAGAATTTTTAACTTGTCTAGACACAATGACTTGAGATGGATGACACGTCTCCATTTCCACCCACTGTACAAATATTAAGCTAAAATATGCTGGATAAACCGCTGCCATCTTCTGCTGGTGACCTCATTTGGAGCCAGAGTCTGCGCAGTAGGGATCTCCGTGGTATTGAGTTCCAGTTGTTCGACCAATCGAGAGCAGCGACATTAATCGCAAGCACATCAATTGGCACACAAAGCTGTCAATCATGATACAAGACCCTTTTTTAATAGCATCAAATAACAAGTTAAAACCATCATCAAAATGAACACTTGAATGAATGAATGAACAAACATCAGCGTGACAACAACTACCTAAAGTGACAGAAACCATCTTTGGGAAAAATTTATTTGAGGTGTACTTTGATTTTGTATTTTGACCCATGTCCCATCTGCTAACACAGAGGGGGCGGGGTTTATGACAGATACTGCAGTGGCCACCAGGGGGCAATTGAAATGTTTTGGCATCGTTTTTGGCGAGCTGTCTTATCGTCCATCTTTACGGTCTATGGTTGGATAAAACAAGCAATTTAAAGACATCACATTGAGCTTAAAGAAATGTAAAAGCCATTTTAGCTTTTCTCTAATGTCTTATAGACTAAATGATTAATCAAGAAAAATATCAGCAAATTGATAAATAATGACAATAATAATTAGATGCAGCAATATTTATCACCAGAATGTAATGTGTGTTTGTGAGGTTAGAAAAAATATAAACATAAATGCTGAATGGATTTCCTTCATAAAACATCTGCTGAGCTGTTTTTTTCTGAATATTTTAAATTGCTCAGTTTTTTTTATCCTTGTTAATCAGCCTTTCTTCTGTTTTGCTTTTGTTGGCGGCATGCTATACTTCCTGGCACCGACTAACAATCAAGGGAATAGCGTCTAAAAGGTGGCAGGATTATGTGTTTCATTGCCAGCATGCTCGTACGCTTGGAAACAAAGCAGTGACCCAGTTGTAAAAACATTGCTCCTCACTGGTGGTTATTAACTCTAGTGGGAACCCTTATCTACATCTTAGCATCTCACTCAGGCGGTTTTAATCCAGGCAGTAAACCCCTGTTGTTTCCTTCTTTGTTTAAAGGCAAAAAATGCCCTGGCTCACAGTTTGCAGTCATCTCGTCACGACTGTGAGCTGCTGAGAGAGCAGTACGAGGAGGAGCAGGAGGCCAAAGCTGAACTGCAGCGCTGCCTGTCCAAAGCCAACAGCGAGGTGGCTCAGTGGAGAACAAAATATGAGACAGATGCCATCCAACGCACCGAGGAGCTTGAGGAGGCGAAGTAAGAACTGTGCAGCAGATTTTTCAAGCCACTGCTGGTGGGTTTCTTGCACTTTTAACACAATTCATGTTTGGTTCAAAGGAAGAGGCTGGCCCAGCGGCTGCAGGAGTCTGAGGAAATGACAGAAGCAGCGAATGTCAAATGTGCATCTCTGGAGAAAACCAAGCAGAGGCTGCAGGCGGAGGTGGAGGATCTCATGGTTGAGCTGGAAAGGTCAAACGCAGCCAATGCCACCTTGGACAAGAAACAGAGGAACTTTGATAAGGTATGTTTGTTTCCTGCTCTTCAGAAACATGCCTTCATCTGCATCCTGTGGAGGCTGCACTGATCACACATTCCCTCTTGTATTAGATCCTGGCTGAATGGAAACAGAAATATGAGGAGAGTCAGTCAGACCTGGAAGTTTCCCAAAGAGAGGCTAGAGTGCTCAGTACAGAACTCTTCAAGATGAAAAACTCTTACGAAGAGGCTCTGGATCATCTGGAGACCATGAAAAGAGAGAACAAAAACCTTCAGCGTAAGGCTTCTGCTGCCAACATATCAGCCATTTGGTGGTGTTTGTTTTTGATCCATGGAGATAATGTTTTTCTTTACATTCTCAGAGGAAATTACAGAAATCACAGATCAAATTGGACAATCTGCAAAAACTATCCATGAGCTGGAGAAAGCTGCAAAGCAAGCTGAGCAGGAGAAGCGAGACATCCAGGCGGCTCTTGAGGAAGTTGAGGTTCGTGTTCTGTCCTTGAATGACATGATAGCGCCATTTTCATTTAAATTACCACAAAATCATTATCAATCCCGTCTCTGTAGTCTTCCCTGGAACACGAGGAGGCCAAAATCCTGCACCTGCAACTGGAGCTGAATCAGATCAGGGCAGAAGTAGACAGAAGGGTGGCGGAGAAAGACGAAGAAATCGACCAGCTCAAGAGGAACTACCAGAGAACTGTGGACACTCTACAGAACACACTGGATGCCGAGACACGTAGCAGGAACGATGCCGTCCGGATGAAGAAGAAGATGGAGGGAGATCTGAATGAGATGGAGATCCAGCTGGGTCATGCTAACCGCCAAGCAGTCGAGGCCACCAAACAAACGAGGAACCTTCAGGCTCAGTTAAAGGTTTGTTAGAGCGCTGGCATTAGAAATGTTTACATGAAATACTAGACCAATCTGTTTTGATCTCCAAGCCTTTTCCTTCTCTCCCAGGATGCCCAGGTTCATCTGGATGAAGCGCTGCACTGTCAGGAGGACTTTAGGGAACAACTAGCTATCACAGAGCGCCGCAACAACCTGATGATGGCTGAGAACGAGGAGATCAAAGCGGCGCTGGAGCAATCGGAGAGAGGCCGCAAGCTGGCCGAGCAGGAACTGATCGAAGTCAGTGAGAGGATTCAGCTGCTGCACTCTCAGGTAAGGAGACAGTATACAGGATGGATAGAGGAGGACAGAACGAGAAGGGACAAGACAGGAAAAAGCCTCAAAGGAAATGGAAAACAGGACAAGACACATCAGGTCAAGACTGAACAGGGCTGGACAGTACAAGCAGGATATCCTGAAACAGGACATTACATAACACAACACAACAGTAAAGGGCATGTCAGGGACAGGTAATGCAGGATAGGACAAGGCATGATAAAGCAGGAGCAGTTGTGGAATGTAAAATAATGTACATTTACTCAAGTACCGTACTTAAGTACAGATATGACGTACTTGTATCTCAATTATTTCCACTTTTTACAGCTTTGCACTTACACTTCACTACATCTTATAGGAAAATAATGTACTTTTTACTCCACTACATTTGTCTAACACCTTTAGTAACTTGTCAGATTACAGTTCATCCCCTTCCTGTCCAGTGAAAACTATTTATGTCCAGATGTGTTGATTTTGAATGTTGAATGTCAAGGGACAGGAAAAGACATGGGAAAACAAGACTGGATGAAAAAAAGGTGTCACAAAGGAAATAACAGCTAATTTCCACTCAATTATTCAATTTATTAATAGAGCACATTTAAAGACAGGGTTGAGCAGTGTGCTCTACAGAGGCATTTAAAATACAAATAAGTAATTCAAACTAAATTAAATAGGTAAGTAACTAAATTAAAACCATTTTATCATCATATCAATAATTAAGGGGACTTAAACTAAAACTGTAAGTAGTAATTTAATATCTGACACCAGGATATGATTCATGTGCAAACATAGAAATGGGTTACCCTACAACATTATAATAATCACATAATAACCAAAATATTTCCCTGATTAAATGTGGATTATTACACTTTTTCTTTAGGTATTACAGGAAACTATAGGGGGTATCAAAAATTCAGTCTTCACACCCATTAATGAGGGAACTACTCCCATTTCCAAAAATTCATATGTTATCGCTGAATGTTCTGAGACAGTCCAAAAATAGTATTAAACATGAACAGCTCTCTCCCAAATCCAAACACAGGAGTGCTAAAACTCAAGTTTGTGATGTCAGAGGGTATAAAATCTGGAGCTGCTCCATAGACAATGTTCTAGATGACACTGAGAGCTCCAGAAGGAATGTTCTGAGTATATGGGTACATTTTCTGTTTCAGAACTGAGAACACTACAGTAGCATAAACTGAACTTCCCCAGGCCATGGAAATGATACATTGGTATTCTATTTTTAGGTGTTGTTCCCCTTTAAACAGCAGTTGAGACAATATTGTCACTATAGGGTCCTCTAAATGGAATCTGTGTACTTAAACCATTTATGATTAATGTGTCATATCTAAATATTGTCTAATCAACAGAACTCCAGCCTTGTAAACACTAAAAAGAAGATAGAGTCTGATTTAATTCAGCTGCAGTCAGAGATGGAGGACACCGTCCAGGAGGCGAGGAATGCAGATGAGAAGGCCAAAAAAGCCATCATGGATGTAAGTCCCCCCACCCCCACCCGCATTTTATCCAGTTTACCTCAGAGAGTCATTTCAATGAGGTCGTGCAGATTAAATTTCACGGTGAGCCCACATTTGCATACAGGCTGCCATGATGGCTGAGGAGCTGAAGAAAGAACAGGACACCAGCGCTCACCTGGAGAGGATGAAGAAGAACCTGGAGGTGACAGTGAAAGACCTGCAGCAGCGTCTGGATGAGGCCGAGCAGCTGGCTCTGAAGGGAGGGAAGAAAGAGCTTCAGAAACTGGAAGCCAGGGTAAGAGTCAAAAAAAGGGACAGAGCCATTCTGTGGAGAGAAAAATGGAATAAAAAGTGATTTTAAACTAACTGTATTTTTAAGGTCCGTGAGCTGGAAAATGAATTAGAATCAGAACAGAAACGCAGCGGGGAGGCCATGAAAGGTGTGCGGAAATATGAGAGGAAAATTAAAGAGCTCACTTATCAGGTAAGAGGTACATCCCGTTATATAACTGTGAGTTTCACTAGATGAAATTCGACTACTTGAATATGCAAAAATGAAATGTGAGAGTAATGCCTTGAATGTTTTAGAGTGAGGAGGAAAAGAAGAGCGTGGCACGACTTCAGGATTTGGTCGATAAACTGCAACTGAAAGTGAAAGCCTATAAGCGGCAGTGTGAGGAGGCGGTGAGTAAAATTGCATAAATACTGTGTGAAATGTAAGCTTGATGTGTACCTAAAGAACACCCTCCTTTCTTATATTGTCTTCTGTGACACTCAGGAGGAACAAACCAGCATCCATTTGGCTAAAGCTCGGAAGGTGCAACACGAACTGGAGGAAGCTGAGGAACGAGCTGATATGGCAGAATCCCAGTTGAATAAATTACGAGCAAAGAGCCGCGATATTGTTGGTAAAGGGGAATAGAAGTCTACGCTGTATCAGCTTTGTGACAGTGCATTTTCCAGACAGTCCAATAGGTTTTAAAATGGTTTATTTAGCTTTAGAAGAAGAATTTTTCACAACCTACAGTATAAAGGAACACTACAATTTATCCCAAAAACTCAAATCACCAAATTTGGAGATGCATGTTTTTCTTTGGACAGTAAGCTGTGGCTTTTAGTTTCAGCATTATTTGATCACTGGGCGACAGTTGTACAAATCATGGTAAAAAAAGTAATAAACTCACCTTCCAGTAAGCGAAAAATGTCATATAAGGTGATGTGATGAATGACATCATATTTATTACATTAAAGCTGTAATCGGTAACTTTTATAAAAACAACTTTTTATCATATTTGCTGAAACTATCAGTATATCCAGACAGTAGTGCATGAGACAGATAATCTGTGAAAAAATCAGGCCTGTGAATGGTTTCGTTTTGGCTTGACTGTTTCCAACATGGCAGCCGGGCCACAAACTCATTCTCATGTTACATCTAAACCGTACACTAAAATATGTTTTTGAACACCTGAGGTGAGAAATAGGCAATACAGCAACTGAATCTTGATTAAAATTTTATCAGTGCTGCCTTTGAGAGTTTGACGCAGTTCAGGAGTAACGATTGATATGATTGACAGCTGCATTAGAGACCCCTTGACTCTGATTGATCACTTTCGCTCATGGGTGGTGGATTCCAGCAAATGCCATTAGAGGCACTACAAGGAGGCAGAGTAACATGATTTTATCTGTCTCATGTACTTATGTGTGAATAAAGTGACAGTTTGAGCAAATATAACTAAAGTTGTTTTTAAAAAGTTGTGAACTACAGCTTTGAAAGGGCAGTTGCATTATGGGAAATGAAGGATCCAGGGTTTTAGATGTTGGTCCCCACTAGGAACTAACAGTCTGCATATGTTGTTCTCTAGTTCTTCAATTTTTTACATTTTCTTTCTTTCTGTCTCTTGGGAATGTCATTAACTTTGCAGATATTTAGTCATGAACCAAAGTATTGGACAAATTAAAACTTAAATCTACTGGTGGCACTTGAAGTTAAGGGGTCACCAAAGTCATTTGGATTCATCCTCTGAGGAACATGAATGTCTGCAACACGTTTCATGACAATCCATCCAATAGATGTGAAGACATTTTATTCAAATCCAAAAGTGTCAATCTCATTGTGGTGCTACAGGAAAAGTCAGAGTATCACCAAAACCAGTAGGAATCATCCACTGGGGAACATGAATATGTTAACAAAATTTCATGACAGTGCATCCAATAGTTGTTGAGATATCTCAGTCTTTACCAAAGTGGTGGACTGACTGACACACCAACTTTGCCACCAGCTTTATCCCCGTCTATGTCTATGTAAAGGTCATCTAGGGTTGAGTAAAGACTTGAGGCAGAGTTGTAGAATGATTATAAACAAACAATGTTTCCTGCATATATACAGCATCTGGTCACCATTCTGTGTTGCTAAGCCTGGGATCAATGGAGACGGAGCAAAGAAAACAGTGTCGGCTCAACACGTTCCGGGAATAGTGTCTACTCTGCAGTTATTTATGCACTGACCTGAACTAAAACCTCATTCTTACCAAGACACAGGAAAATACCTTTCTGCCTATCAAGCACCGCAAAATAATAATAATAATAATAATAATAATAATAATAATAATAATGATAATAATAATAATGATAGAAAAAGAAATCATCCCAAAGCTACACATACATTGTTTTTACAAAAATCCTACTCATTCTGCCTTTATTCAATAAAAGAACAAAAATATTCAGAGTGACATTCTCTAAAAGAAAAAAAAAACAGTTTTGTGTGTGAAAGAGAAAGAGAATAAAATTGTATCTCCAATTTTGACTATTTCTTACTTACTAGTCTGTAAATAAATAACTCGCCATAAGTCTTGTCTTGGTACCTGCAATAAAGATAGATCACCAAAAGATGGAGACACTTTATCCATGTTCAACGTTAGCCTATTTCCTAAGTATTGTTTAGTTACTTGAACCAAAAAAAAATCTGAAGTTGTTTTATTTTTTCACCCACATTTACATCCTGAAGTACCTTTTTAAACCAACAACAAGAAGAAAATGCAGACATTCGAGATTGTACAACTACCACTATTTCACAAACTGAAATCTGATATGGTTGCTAATAAAATGCATACTTTATTAACAGATGGTATAACATTTATAAATATGTTGTTAATTATGAAAATAAAGACAGAACAGTCACTATCGCTAAAATGGAGAAAAATAAATATATTAACCAGCATTCTACAACCACACTGTGGATTTTAACCAAAAAACTGTTGCACAGAGCTCATAATGAAATCTGGTCAGTAACACTGCAGTCACTCACCAATTCAAGTGTAAAAATCACATTAGCATCGCCTCACAGCTTCAGCTGAAAACCAAGATTAAAAACTAGAATAACACAGGCCTGACATTTGGGCATTTTAGAAAACCCTGGGAGTTAAAATGGACCCCATTAAAATCCACCTTTTTTCCTCCTGTCAGCGGTGCAGTGATCAGCAGCAGCTGGTATGTTCATGACATTTGTAGAAATCCCTGTGAAGCAGGGTTAGAGTTACTGCTGTGAATGTGTGACTTTCAGCAGGGGAGGCTTACGTAGAACTGAAGGTAACCTCCAAGTAAAGACAAAGTACAAAGAGGAGGACGGGAGGTACTTGAGGAGCTGTCAGATTGTGGTTAAGAAGGGACAAACATTGTCCACCGACTTGACAACATTTTCAGTTATTCACCCACAGTGGAAACATTTTTGGTGGCAGAATTATTAATACTGCAAACATAACAGTATGCAGATTTATACAGAGAATATATTATATGAACAAGATGAGAAATTATACTGTCCTAAAAGGCCAAAATGGAGCAACTACACATTCTGTCAAAATTGAGTTTAGACCAATCTAAGTTTTTGACATCTGTTTTAGCATTTAGAAGTTTATTTGAAATATAAAGTTGTTTTTTTTATAAATAAAAAAAAACATCAAAAATTGCTAGAACTAGGTTTTGCTATTTCCTGTAACTGATATAATATTTTGATGCTCCAGCATTTTAGTAATTAAGTTGTTTTTATACCACATTAATTAGACAGTATCTTAATTTGGTCATAATGAATAAGGAACCAAAAAACAGTCGTCAGATAACTAGCCTAGCTATCAGATTAGCACTAACTGCCATCTCTGTAGCCAATGACTTTGGTGGAATTAATGTGATTTCATGTTAAACTACACTTAAATCATATTTAAATGTATTCTATCAAAGATGAAGCAAACTAGCATTCACTGAAATGGACAACAGAGCAAGAAACAAGAATGTATTGTTTGTAGATATGGTGTTGTCTATGCGCCATTTAAGTTGCTTTTTAGGCTTTATTTAAGGGTCTGTGACAATTATAACAAGTAAGTCTAAAGGGCATATAATTAAGGTTTTACAAACTGTTACAGAGTTGACTTCAACAAAAGTTCAGTTTTGTAGTTTCAAAAGCTTAGTAAATGGATATGTATGCAGATATATGTAGGCAACAGTAGGAGATTTTGGAATCAAAAGCATTCTGGTTTCTGTTTGTAGTCTGAGTAGTTTTGACCATTCATGTCTGAGCAGGGTTTGGTTGCCTGCTGGTTACCAGTCTATGTGTAGAACAAAAGAGGTGGAACCCATTGGCTGTAATACAGTCCTGTAACCCATTTCAATCGTCAGATGACAAGCTAGCTTTATGCCAACATTTTATTGGCTTTTTTAAAAACTTAGCAGCACTCAAATAAGCCCATTACTGTTTATAGAGATTAGCTGAAATGACAGGCACACAGAAGAGGAAGTTTTGGCCCAGATAGCCACTGGCTACACTGAACCCCCCAAATACTGGCCATTACCAGCTAAGGCTTATCATTGTCAGACCACATGGGTTCAGAGATTGGTGGTTTCCTAATGTGACAAAGACGAAATCAGCCATTCAAAACATTACAGTCATGGAGAAGTCAGCAAATTTAGACAAAAAATCAGAATGTAGAAAAGATCAGCAACATCTCATTTATCATTATTTCAAATATAATTGGAAAATTTGAAAAATGCATTGACACAAATTCATGAAAACTCTCCACTAAAAAGATACCAAAATACCAAAATATTTATTGAAACCTCTTATGTTATGGTCTGTATTCCTATAAGCAAATAGTGCAGATCTCTTCAAGTCTTGAATTAATATAAAGTCAAGAAAAAACTTCTTGTCCATCATATCAGACAAAAAAACTGACTTGATTTTAACCAGTCAGTAAAAAACACAATAGGCTCATATGATGTCATTTACTCTCCTATAGGCCTAGGTGTGATTTCTTCTTTTATAGAGCCAACATGTCCTCTGCTTTACTGCTGGATATTAAGAGATGATTTAATGTATTTTCAAGATGACAACCTGCTGTTCACACTTGCTCCCGTGCACTACTCCCCCTAAGCTGATGAGAGCTCAAGTTACAGATGCTCTTCCATGATTATTCTAAATGTAGTAACAAAGCTGTTGCCATGTATTTATGCAACACCCGACACCGTTACGTGTTAACTTGTAAACAAAGCAGACAAACCAGACAACTTCCCTCAAGGTGGCTGACTATTACTAACCTTGGCATGGAACATGTGGCATGAGATACGTTGCAGACATATGAGTTATTGTTTCATTATCAACAATTAGGCCCACCATTTAAATTCAAACACAGCAGAGTAAAGTAGCATTGTAGTAAAATATGTAGCCTATATTCCACCAGGATTTAGTTCTTGTCCAAAAACATAAAAAATATTATTTATCTAAAATTATTGTCTCTGTAGATGATTGTTTATTCATCTGATTTTTTTAATTGGTGGTGTGCCACAGGGTTCAATTTTTGAGCCATTTCTGTTCTCTCTGTACTAGTTCCAACAAAGCCATATTAATAATATTTTTGTATGTAATTTTTTTGCTGATGACGCTCCACTATTTCTTTTATTTAATTGCCATATTTCTATGATGGTAGAAGCAAATTACTATTACTATTAGTGCATTAACACAATAAATAGGGGTGAATTAAGCTGCAGAATTCATTTGATAAGTTTCTATGGATAATGTGTGTGATGCTATTAGAATTAAGTTAATCGCAGCAACTGTGCTTTTTGTAAGACAAAACTGACAGCTTTTACCAGCCACCATTTAAGCCTAAAGGTGGGTAAACTTATGGAAAAGATTATAAGACTAAAGGGTTTGAAAAATTGAATAAATGGGACACTTTAAAACAGTTTTGGAGCAATCCTTGGCCTTATTGCTTGTTTCTGTAATGTAATCTATGAACTGGCTGGATCCAGGTGTAGATACCGTTTGCGATGTGCACCTGTGTGTCCACCTGTAGAAAGTCAAGCTCCCTTTCAGATTAAGAATTACGAGTTGTGTAAGGGAAAGCTGTAGTACTTAACCTTGAGATCCTAGGAATTAAATTATTTATCATTAGACAGTTATAGGAAGGACACATATTCAGAATATGCATGCATTGCAGAATAACAACCTGAAGACAGTTTCAGTTTAATTGCCCAATGAGAAACAATCTGATATATGCATTGGACAGAAAGTAAATTTTCTCATGACACATTCCAAGAAAGTAATGTCGACATTGTACTGACATCTGTCTGGAGTTTAATCCAGTTAATCCAAGCAAGGTGTTCTGGAGGTGAATGAGCAGGTGGTCCTTGAGTCCAGGATAAACATGAAGGTCATGATGCATAATGGAGACACTGAGTTACAAATGTTTCACACCCATAAAAACATACAATGACACATTTCTGTCTCTAAATTAACATCATCGCACTAAACACAGTGATTAAGCAGCTCATTATGCATTCAACATGAGATGTAGTCCTTCTGAGCAGCAAACACAACATTAAAGTTAAGTAGTTAATGACAGTTCTTGACAGCATGGAAGGCATGTAAAAATAGTGCTTGAGGATCATCACCTGTCGCTGCTGACACATTCCTATTACCACTACAAGATCCTGTGCCATTTTTAAGTGTAGAGCAGAGATCGATAATGTGACTTGATTGACATTTGAATGGAATGACATTGCCAAGTTTGGAGCGTCCGGTTTGAGCAGCACATTCGTCTTGATAAAAGGCGCCTCAGCCTCCTGCTGGTGTTCACTTAGGGTCCTGCCATTTACTGACAGTTGATAAGATCCATCATTTTCCCCCTCTGGCATCTGTCAACATTGGTGGCTCTGATTCAGTTCTGCTGGAGTGTGTAAAGCTGGTAAGTCACATACAAAAGTATAAATCATTTGATCAGAAATCTTTTGAAATGTTTAGTTGTTTTCACTTCAGTGTGTCTCTTTTTCTTGCTTTTTTTTACCTTCAGATACCAACATGAGTTCCGATGCCGAGATGGCCCAGTATGGGCCAGCGGCCATCTTTCTCCGCAAACCTGAGAAAGAGAGAGTTGAGGCTCAGAACCGACCATTTGATGCCAGAACAGCCTGCTTTGTGCCTAATGCCAAGGAGCTGTACGTCAAAGGTCTAATCCAGAACAAAGACGGTGGCCAAGTCACTGTGAAGACTGAAGCTGATGAGGTAGATGTGTCTAAACAGCTGAATTACTGCTCAAAAATAATCAAAATAATAAAATTATATCGTAAAGAAATGGACTGGAAGCAGTGGCTGCCTGGGAAAAACACTATAGCATGCTTTAAACCGATTAGTGTAATGCAAAGAATATGTAATTTGGACTGTAACATAAAAATAACAGTAGGGGACATTAAGCCTCAGCTGGTTTGGTGCTTTAATTGTATAAACAAACCCACATTTTACTGGAAATACATTGTTTTCTCCAGTCAGTATCATTTCACCTTTTCTCCTCTTTTCACTTTATTCTCCAGATTGTTACAGTCAAGGAGGAAGACTGCCATCCCATGAATCCCCCAAAGTACGATAAGATTGAGGACATGGCCATGATGACCCACCTCAATGAGCCCTCTGTGCTGTTTAACCTCAAAGATCGTTACGCAGCGTGGATGATTTATGTAAGTTATTAGTCATCTCTTTGTCTGATTCTCACTCACCCACCTAACATGTGGTATATGCTCATCCACAGACCTACTCTGGGCTCTTCTGTGTCACTGTAAACCCTTACAAGTGGCTGCCTGTGTACGACCCAATTGTGGTGGCGGCCTACAGAGGGAAGAAGCGCATGGAGGCCCCACCTCACATTTTCTCCGTTTCTGATAATGCATATCAAAATATGCTTACAGGTAAGGAAGAGTGAGGAGTTATTTGAGAATGTCAAAACCTTGAGACCTGTAACTGAACAAGAGCAGATGTTGACCCTCAATATCAAATTGGCCAGATGTATCAGTACCGAAGATATGATGTCAGTCTCTCACAACTGTGTTGAAACGATTTGTTGAACTGTCAGAGAATTGTTGGTTTTATTGCAAAAAAATCTATATTTATTTAATTATGCTTAAGTGTGCATTTTTGTGGGATTTAAAAAAGCATATATTTCTAGGGCAAATACCAAATGCCAATATTTTGACATAGAAGTATCCAAATTTTTTGCTAACTTCATTCTTAACCATTGAACTTACAAACGCATTGTTGGTGAAACTTAAGTTTAAAACAAGACGATACTTTTGAAAGAAGTGATTTATGTTACACTAACGTTACCATTAACCATGCATATTTAATCTAACCGACCTTGATGCTCTCAACACGTGCAATAGATCTAAATTCATCAGCCTCTGACATGGTGATTTGTCTCGTCTGTTGTCAACGTGTGTCAGTCACTCTTCGGGTGTGTTTTGACATAGAAAAGTGTTTGTCAATCGTTTGTGCTACCTGACAACCTTGCACGCGTTGCATAACAGTTTACCCCCACTTTCATGCAGAACATCAGGGAATTGCCTTGAATGGTCTTTAGCAGTGATTTTTGTTGGTAAATATGAGATGTTCGTATCACACATGTCTGCATCTTTACAGCAAGAAACAAGAACGTGAGTTTGGTGACTTGCAGGAAACTACAATGATTGGTCATATTTGTGGAAAAGTTGCGGTAATTGGACAGAATTGCAAGGTTTTGCAGAATTCAAAGGGACTGGTTGAATTTAGTTGTGCTACTAAAATAGACAAACAATAACAAACCTCATTAACATTATAATTATTAACAATGACAACAATATAATTATTATTAACAATAATAACAAACACAAAAATAAGAAAAATTCAATGTACCATTATCCTGTAACTGCCACCTGTGGTCATAGTTGCTGCCATTTCACAACAGTAACATAATACCAAATTAAAGTTGTTTTTAAAACTTGAATAGTTACGGCTAAATAAGGAACAATTAAAGTTCCACAGTGAAAATGAAATGATTAATTAAAAGTTTAACACTCAAAAACTGTACTCATCTTCTTCATTTGGACTGTGTGGGTGTGGTTTGGTCAGATTTCATCGACAGTGGTCTCAAGCTCAAATGTAAATATTGCTAAATCCTGACTGGTGCACTAAAGTAAGTGACATTCCATTGCTCCCAGCTGAGCCTCGGCCACTTCAAACCATCATGAATACCAAAGGCAAAAACAAAAATCTCTAAAGTAAAATAATTGCTGCAACTTTGGAAATTTGGTGGTTATGTAGGATCCCAATCATAATACCAAGGCCTTTCAGCCACTTTATCACTTCACACTTGCATCACTTCATTGAGACAAAACTGCCTCTGAAGGGTTTTTTTTATTACCAACAGATCGTGAGAACCAGTCTGTGCTGATCACGTGAGTTATGTTGCGTTCTAGTAAAAATGTGTTGTATAATCCAGTCAGTAACAAATGTACAGTGTAATTTGTTTTCTTCAGGTCTCTTCTTTGATTCTGTCTTTACAGTGGAGAATCCGGTGCAGGGAAGACTGTCAACACCAAGCGCGTCATCCAGTACTTTGCGACAATCGCAGTGGCTGGTGGCGACAAGAAAGAGCACTCCTCTGGTAAAATACAGGTAATCCCCCAACAAGATATGAGCCTGAAAAAAACAACAACACAAAGATACAATGGGATTGTATCTGAAATTGATTCTGGTTGTGTTTTCCAGGGGACACTGGAAGATCAAATCATTTCAGCGAACCCTTTGCTGGAGGCATTCGGGAATGCCAAGACTGTGAGGAATGACAACTCCTCACGATTTGTAAGTTTGAGCTCCCAAAATCGGATCTTTTAAAAGAGACCGTTTGTCCAGTGGTCAAAGAACTGCAACCTTGTCGTCTTCTTAAAATACTTCAGAAATATTTATTTCAAACTTAGATACTGTCTCGTGCAATTTACCCAATTTCACAGAGGATTTTATATTTCACAGGGTAAATTCATCAGGATTCACTTTGGAACCACAGGAAAACTGGCTTCTGCGGATATTGAAACCTGTGAGTTTGTTTTTCCACATTAATATTGTTTGTTACATGTATATTTACTAATTAACAATCATCATTTTATAACTGAATATAGATTTGCTGGAAAAGTCAAGAGTGTCATTCCAGTTGTCTGAAGAGAGGAGCTACCACATCTTCTACCAGATACTGACTGGCCACAAACCAGAGCTTATAGGTGTGGTGAGGACTTTATATCTTGTAGGTAAAAATATTTTGAATTCAGAAAATGAGTAATTGTTTTTGTTTGTCTCTTCAGAAATGCTTCTCATAACAACAAACCCATATGACTACCCCATGATTAGTCAGGGGCAGATCACTGTGGCCAGCATCGACGACAAAGAAGAGCTGGTTGCTACAGATGTGAGCTGTTTCTTGTATCTCCCCTTCAATAGCATACAAATATTTTTGGCTGCTACTACTAACACTGGATTTAATGTAACAGACAGCCACTGATGTATTGGGCTTTACCACCGATGAGAAAATGTCCATCTACAAGCTGACAGGCGCTGTGATGCATTATGGAAACATGAAATTCAAGCAGAAGCAGCGGGAGGAGCAGGCGGAACCCGATGGCACAGAGGGTGAGACTTCTCACTTTAGTCTTTTTATATATCAACGAAGACATGCTGATATTAGCAGTAATGTATTTTTGTCTCTCAGTGGCAGACAAAGTGGCTTTCCTCATGGGTCTAAACTCTGCTGACTTGTTGAAAGGCCTCTGCTACCCCAGAGTGAAAGTGGGGAATGAATATGTCACCAAGGGTCAGACAGTCCCCCAGGTACTTTGACAATACCAACATTTTACAAGCGATAATGTACAGTAAGGTGTAGCTACTAATATAACAAAATAATGCATGAGGTGGAGGCAATGTTATAGCTGAGTTGCATATTCTGCCTGAACTGACTGTGACTTTTAACATCTGGACACCTTGTTACAGCCAGTTACAAATAGAAACATCTAATCAGTTGCATGTATAAAGAGAACTGGATACAGCAACGGAAGTGGGACCCTGTTCATGATATGAAAGTTGGTCAGTGGTGCATGAAGCCAAAAACATTCAACTGCTGCTAGAAAATGACCCAGATGATCAACATTGCCTGCGCATTATTGGGCCTATAGAGCAAGCACACTAGAGACTTCCACCAGCTCACCAGTTGACTACATCACTTCGCTAACTTTAATGTGAATAAATTAATTTGTCCGTGCAGCTCTTCTAGACTTTCCAAATGTTGTTGGACTGAATGGATCAAATTCTGTAAATTCAGTCATTTTGCAGGGTCGTTGCACTCAAGAAAATATATTTACCGATTTACAGACATCTCTTTCACAATGTAAGTCTATTGGAAAAAGTCTTTTTTTGGCCCAATGGCATCACCTGATGGATTTGGAAGTTGTAATTCCATGTTTGACCACTACGAAAATTGGCTTCAAAGCCCAGTGCACTTCCTTCCATAACAAGTAGCCTGGTTTCAGACCTCTGAATCATGGCTCGTAGCACCTATTTGCTCAGCATGTCATAAACTGTAGGTTGGGTGTTGTGTATTGGGATGGTTTCCATGTGTCCTAGATGGGACTGATAATGGCAACGACAGCTTCCTGCATTGCTTGCAAACCACCTAGCCACATCAGCTACAAAAAAAAGAAAAAAAAGGGGGTTTTAAGTTATGAAAGTAACCCTTAAGCTTTAATGGGACTAAGAATATTGTTGTCATCTTCCTACATAGCTTGCTAGCTACATATGTGAAAAATAGCAACAGAAAATGCCTAAAAAATGTCGACAAGCATGGATGAGATTGACAATGCTGTTCAGGTTATTGTAAGTCCACTTACAGAAATACCAAGTCCTAAACTCTTAAGCTTCAGGCAATAGCTTTCCATAGTCAATATCGACTGAATCTGAAGTTGGTGGGATGGCTATGTCAGTCATTATGGTTTAGTCAGGGCAAAATGTAACAAATAACCCCCACTTCTAACTCCACCCTACCCCAATCTATGTGCACTTTGGGCAAGTTTATTTACCCTGTTTGCATAAAATTCCATATTTTGTGTTATTGATTCGTGCATCCTCAAAATCTCCTAATCAGGTCACCAATTCAGTTGGTGCTCTGGCCAAGTCTGTCTATGAGAAGATGTTCTTATGGATGGTTATTCGAATCAATGAGATGCTGGACACCAAGCAACCAAGACAGTTCTTCATTGGGGTGTTGGACATCGCTGGATTTGAAATATTTGACGTGAGTCTGGGAACATTTTGGTCAGTCAGTGGTGATGATTCTCAGTTTTGTGTTGATATGTCACAAGTTAATGCTTCTCACAGTACAACAGCATGGAGCAACTCTGCATTAATTTCACCAACGAGAAGCTGCAACAGTTTTTCAACCACCACATGTTTGTGTTGGAACAAGAGGAGTACAAGAAAGAAGGGATTGACTGGGAGTTCATTGACTTTGGTATGGACTTGGCAGCCTGCATTGAGCTCATTGAAAAGGTAGGATTAACTTGCTGCACATCGGGAAGTGTTTTACCTAATTTAAGGCACTATATATAATGTATATCCGATACATTCAACAGCCAATGGGCATCTTCTCCATCCTTGAAGAGGAGTGTATGTTCCCCAAGGCATCAGACACTTCTTTTAAGAACAAACTTTACGACCAGCATCTTGGAAAAAACAATGCTTTCCAAAAGCCAAAGGTTGTCAAAGGCAAGCCTGAGGCTCACTTTACTCTGGTGCACTATGCCGGCACTGTGGACTACAACATCTCTGGCTGGCTGGAGAAGAACAAAGACCCTCTGAATGAGTCTGTGGTGCAGCTTTACCAGAAGTCATCAATGAAATTGCTGTCCTTCTTGTATGCTTCATTTTCTGGTGCTGAAGCAGGTACTTGTTTTTAAAGCTTTTCAAAAATAATTTCCAAAGACAGAGTTTTACTGATGTCTATGAATATGGAGAACACCTACCAAGCATCATACCTTAGAAAATGGCAGATAATTAATTCAGTGTCTGCTTTCTAGAATCGGCTGGAGATGCTGGTGGCAAAGGTGCAAAGAAAGGAGCTAAGAAGAAAGGCGGCTCATTTCAGACAGTGTCTGCAGTTTTCAGGGTACAAAAGTCTTAATAATCTGTTTAGGTATGATTAATTTTTTGTCCTGAATTGATCCCTTAAAAAGGTGCTTCCACACATTTCAGCTCTGCTTCCAATAAGCTCCATCCGTCAACAGTAATGGTTGGTTGCATTGTTGAACTTTACAGAGGGCGGATTTGATCCAATGCCAAATCAGGGCAAGAAGCAAAACTTTTTTTATTGTCAGTGTTTGACCTTTTAAAAAGATGTAATAACATTTGATCCCCTGCAGGAAAATCTTGGAAAACTAATGACAAATTTGAGGAGCACCCATCCTCATTTTGTGCGTTGCCTGATTCCAAATGAGATAAAAACTCCAGGTACAAAGATTTGACAAACACTGTATGTCTTGTATAAATATGCTGCTTCCATCTGTTGCCAGTCAGCTCATGTTTATTTCACTGTAGGTATCATGGACAATCACTTGGTTATCCACCAGCTGCGCTGTAACGGTGTGCTGGAGGGTATCAGGATCTGCAGGAAGGGATTCCCCAGCAGGATTATTTATGCTGACTTCAAGCAGAGGTCAGGGAGCTCCCGATAACTACTACTTGTGCTTTCATCTAAATGATTCCAGTTTGTGATAATTTTTCAATATCCACATTTGAACAGGTACAAAATCCTTAATGCCAGTGCCATCCCTGAAGGACAGTTCATTGATGGAAAGAAAGCTGCAGAGAAGCTTCTTGGTTCAATCGATGTTGACCACACTCAGTACAGATTTGGGGCTACAAAGGTATGTGTCTAAAAGCCTAATAGGGTTACCTTTTAAAGGCTTTTGGAAACACTGTGTATAGATTTTGGCCTTAAAAGCAACACATTGATTGATTTTTTTTTTTGGACTGGATGCAGCAATTCTACACAATAATGTTGCAGGTCTTCTTCAAAGCTGGCTTACTTGGCACTCTAGAGGAGCTGCGAGATGAAAAACTAGTTTCTCTAGTGACGCAGACTCAAGCCCTGTGTCGTGGTTATCTCATGAGGAAAGAATTCTCCAAATTAATTGCTCAAAAGTAAGGTCACCACCCATGTTACTTTACAATGATAGAAACTAAACCAATGCCACTTAACACTGCTGCTGTGTATCTTACAGAGACTGTGTCTGGATTCTGCAATATAACCTGCGCTTGTTCATGAATGTGAAGCACTGGCCGTGGATGAAGCTGTTCTTTAAAATAAAGCCACTTCTGAAGAGTGCAGAGACTGAAAAGGAAATGGCAACCATGAAAGAGGACTTCATCAAATGTAAGGAGGATCTGGCTAAGTCAGAGTCGAAGAGGAAGGATCTTGAGGAGAAAATGGTTTCTCTTTTACAGGAGAAAAATAACCTCCTTTTGCAAGTGCAATCTGTGAGTGTCACTACAAATGAAATCCACTGATCTCAGTTGAATCATCCAAAGGACATGCACATCAGTGTTGTTCTCTCTGGGTTTTTTTCTTAGGACTCAGAAAATCTTTGCGATGCAGAGGAGAGATGCGAAGGCTTGATCAAGAGCAAAATCCAGCTGGAGGCCAAACTCAAAGAGGTGACCGAGAGACTGGAGGATGAGGAGGAAATGAACGCTGAGTTGACCGCCAAGAAGCGGAAACTTGAAGACGAATGCTCTGAGCTCAAAAAGGACATTGATGACCTGGAGATCACTCTGGCTAAAGTAGAGAAGGAGAAACATGCCACAGAAAACAAGGTTTGTGATTTTGCCCAGTCTGTGTGGTTGGTACCTCCATGTAGCTCCTACTGAATGGAGCAGGGTTTCTGAAAAACAACATTTCAATGGATTTTGGTTGTGGTATATTTGGTCATTGGCCAACTAACAACACATGAGTTTTTGATGCAGACACAGCCACCATGTGGCCATTTATAAAGCTCTCTGCATTTTTGCTTTAACTTCTAAACCATGCCCCCTTTTTTGACAGATTTTTCAACATTTTCATTAAACCTTCATGTAACTAGTACATTCAATGTCTGGATGATCCTGGATTAAATACATTTTTTCTTTTTCCAATTTTACATAAATTACATAAATTGCAAAAATTCTTAATTCTTAATTACTCCTTGTACCAAGCCTTATTTGATCTCACTGGGCTTGATTTTCTCCAACAACAGAAAAACAAAATGTAACTTTTCAATTGAATTTGGTCACAGTTACAAACAACAGATACAGCCACCTTAAAATACCACCAAAGCACCATTTATAAAGCAGTTTGCATTTTTGCTTATAATCCATAAACCAGGTCCATTTCTGTCTTTTTCTCAATTTAATATTTTTAATATTTAAATATTTATTTCAAATATATTTTTTAACACTACACCTGTAATTTTCATCCAGACTTTACTGAATTTGGTAAAATCCATGTATGGACAGTAGGACTAGGCAATATATTGATATTATATTGATATTGTGATAGAGAGATATCGTCAATTGTTGTTGTCAAGTGTTGCCAATTCCCTAGTTTTAAAGGCTGGATTACAGTAATGTATTTTTCTGAACTTACCAGACTGTTCTAGCTGTTCTATTATTTACCTTTACCCTCTAAGTCATTATATCCACATTACTGATTATTTATCAAAAATATCACTGTGAGAATATTTTGTGAAAGCACCGATAGTCAACCCTACAATATTCTCGGAATATCTACATCAAGGTATTTTCTCAAAACTATTGTATTTGGTTTTCTTCATATATCACCCAGCCCTAAATCTCAAAGAAAATACAATTTATATTTTTCCAATAATTGGTTGCAAGATTAGAGCAAGCATGGATTACTTAAAATATATTGTCATGATTTTTATACATATTTTGCACTTTTAGTTTTTTTTTTTATTAATCATTTATTACTTGTTATTCTATTACATTTGTGTAATAATGAATACTATTTTTTGCAGGTGAAAAACCTGATGGAGGAGCTGGCTGCTCAGGATGAAAACATTGGCAAACTGACCAAAGAGAAGCGAGCCCTTCAGGAGGCTCATCAACAGGCACTGGATGATCTCCAAGCCGAGGAAGACAAAGTCAACTCTCTGGCCAAAGCCAAGGCGAAGCTTGAACAGCAAGTGGATGATGTGAGTTGCTGCAAGCAAGAATATATTTCGGTGTCACTTGACATCTTAATTAACTCTCTACAATTTGCTTCCAAGCTTGAGGGTTCGCTGGAGCAGGAAAAGAAGATCCGCATGGACCAGGAAAGAGCCAAGAGGAAGCTCGAGGGGGATCTGAAACTCACGCAAGAATCCCTGATGGACCTGGAAAATGACAAACAACAATCTGAGGAGAAGATTAAGAAGTAAGTTCACAGCACTGATGACGTACAGCATGTATGAGGATAATAAATCTTGGGTTTAAACTGACATCTTGTGTCTTCTTGTCCTTGCAGAAAAGAATTTGAAAACAACCAGCTGCTCAGCAAGATTTCAGACGAGCAAACGATTAACAACCAGTTTCAGAAGAAGATAAAGGAGCTCCACGTAATAAAACTCAGATTAAAGTCATGCATTAATCACACTGATAACACCCCTCATATATGCATACTGCACTTTTTGTTTTAAGGCTCGTATTGAAGAACTAGAGGAAGAAGTTGAGTCTGAACGAGCCGTCAGGGCAAAGATCGAGAAGCAGAGGTCCGACCTCACCAGGGAGATCGAGGAAATCAGCGAGAGGCTGGAGGAGTCTGGAGGAGCCACGGCCGCTCAGATCGAGATGAACAAGAAGCGGGAAGCCGAGTTCCTCAAACTGCGGCGTGACCTGGAGGAGTCCACGTTGCACCACGAGGCCACAACTGCCGCACTGCGCAAGAAGCAGGCGGACAGCATGGCTGAGCTGGGAGAGCAGATCGATAACCTCCAGAGAATCAAACAGAAACTGGAAAAGGAAAAGAGTGAGATGAGAATGGAGATCGATGATTTGTCTGTTAATATGGAGACAGTTGCAAAAACCAAGGTGAGATTTTATGAATCTGGAATATGGCATTAGCATGAAACATGAATTCAGATCCTTAAAGTAAAAGTACTAACACCACACTGTGAAAATACTCCAAAACAACCAAAAGTCCTGCATTCAGACTGAAGTTGAGTCACATTGTGCAGTAAAATGTTCCCTGTCAGTGTTTTACTATTATACAGTATATGATGTATTTGGATAATGAAGCATTTTCCTGCTGTGACTGTGTGTGTTACTTTCAACTCCTTTATATACTGTTGGGTAGTTTAATCTACAGCAATCCATCATATTTTATAATATCATCATGCTTGTAGCTTCACTGTCCTCTGAGAACCATGTATCTCTAAAAAGTCAACCTTTCTCTAGCTGATCCGAGAGGGTTTTTAAAGAGTTTATTTAGCTTAAGAAGTAGGTGAATTTTCTCAACACATAAAAACACATCATCCTTCAGTTTTTCACAAACATTCAAAATCTACTCATCTAGACATAGATTGTTTTCACTGGACAGGATGGGGATAAAAAATCTGTAATCTGAAAAGTAACTAAAGCTGTCAGACAAATGTCTCAGAGTAAAACTATAAAGTTGCCTAAAATGGAAATACTATTTTTACACTCCTTTAGGTCAACCTGGAGAAGACGTGTCGCTCACTTGAAGATCAGCTTCTGGAGCTAAAGACCAAGAATGATGAAAACATGCGGCAAATTTGTGATCTCACCAATCAGAGGGCTCGGTTTCAAGCTGAAAATAGTAAGTCTTTTCTTCCTCTTGTTGACACTCATAAAAATACAGAGTTTATTCAGTGGTGGAGAAAGTACTTAGGTCCTCTAGGAAAGCAAATGAATACCACACTGTAAAAGTAATCTGATACAAGTCCTGCATTGAAAATATTTCTCAAGTAATATTATGAATTTTCAGAAAACT